AAGGATAACCAGGAACACTTCTCAACCTTTGCTTTTTGGGGTGCTTTTGTTTTGTTTTGTGCCATATGGGCTGTTGCTACTCATCGTGTGGTTCTTTCAGGACCTTAGAGTGCTAGGGGTCGAATTTGGTGTCTCCCAGATACAAAGGAAGTGGTCCCATCCTTTGAGTCATCTCTCTGCCCCTCCTCTACATTTCTTTAGCAATTTTTCTCTCATTTCTTAGTACCATCATTTGCCAGTTTCATAATATCTTGAGTAATCAGTTACCTGCTTAGCTATGCATGTCTTCCCTCACTGATTCCACTCAGTCTGTTTCAAGACAGAAATTCTGTTCAAGGAATCTTTGAATTCTTCTTTCACTCAGCTCACTGATAAGGACCATAGCTATGCAAATCTATTATAAATACATTTAAATTTAAAAGTATGTTACTTTTATGTGGCGGTTACCTGTTTGTAGCCAACAATTCTAACTGAATCAGTTCCTTCTAACCACAGCCTTTCCTAAACGAGAGGTTCCCTCCAAAGTTATATATAGAAAACACTGTAGAGTAGACTGACACTTCGAATTAACAAGTACCAATAAAACAATTTTACATGAATGCTACCTTCTATTTTTTAACAGTGGAGAGGCTGAGACCAGGTTCCTGTCACACAATGAGAAAGGCAGCTCCATCCTAGGGTCTCAGCAAGACTCTTGAAAATTCCTCCACTCACTGAGTCTTTTTGGCCTGAGAAATTTTTACACAACCTCAGGTATATGTAAAAATAAGCTTGCATATCAAACATCTACGGATGACAAAAACATACAGAAGTCTGAAGCATACTTTTGCAATCTTTCACACCACCCCTCCCCCATCCGGTCATGCAATCCTACATGGGAACACAAAACTTAGGAAGCTCTAGACAACACAGACAATAAAACCATGGGGCTTCACTGTACTTTTCAAGAGAAAAAAAATAGGTCAACCAGCCAGTTTCAAAACTCCAGAGGCCTTGGGGCCAGAGTTCTAGTTCACTGGGTAGGGCACAGGCCTTGCGTGCAGCTAACCAGAGTTCAAGCCCTAGCACCATATGTTCCCCCGAGCCATGCCAGGAGTGATCTCTGAGTGCAGAGCAGAGCCAGAAGCAGATCCTGAGCATCATCCGGTGTGGCCCCCAAGGAAACAAACAAACAAAATCCATAAAACCTTTCTAAGAATTCAGCCTGCTACTTTTCCTTTCCAATTGGCAACCCAGTTTCTCCTAATCAGCCACAGAGAACCTAATAACAAGAGCAGAGCCCAGGGATGCCAGCCAGGAAGCCTGGGAAACAACCTCCAATGCACCCCTGGACTTCTCTATGCTTAATGCTTCTTCTTGGGCCCTATCCAGACAGTGCGGTCAGCTGATACTGAGATACTGCCAAGCAACCCAAACCTGCTTGAGTCTGATACTTCCACTGTGGGCACATGCCGTGGTTAGAAAGCTCAAACAGAAGGAAGTGTGAAGAGAAAAATCAAGTAGCTAGGAGGTATTTAATTATATAGCATAGCCATACAGCTTTCCCTTTTTCTTTTCTGTTTTGTGTTGGGGGCCAGACCTGGCTCTTTGTTCAGGAATCACTCCTGGTAGACTCGGGGAACTGTATGGGTATCGGATTAAATTCAGGTGAGACACATGCAAGACAAATGTCCTTCTGCTGTACTATCACTCTGGCCCCATTTTTCTCCTTTTTCTTACTCGATGAAAGGTCAGATTGAAGCCTCACTCTGAACTGGCAAGGAGAGACGAGGAGATGGGTCTCACAGGTGGTGGGCAGGGGCTGTGTCGTCCAGACAAGGATGGTGTCAGCTGGCCGGCAGTCTCCTCTCACAGACATTCATGGTCAATCTCCAACAGGCAGGGGAGAAGGGGGAATATTTTCCCAACACTCACTAATTTTCGTTCTCCTGATTTGCATTTTTCACAGAACATTAGGATGACTTTATAGAAAGTACCCTCTTTTATGATGCAACCATTTTCAATTTTGTTCCCATTTAGTCTTTGATCACAGGGATGTAGATTAATTTACAGGACCACATCTTACTATATGCAATTTTGTGTTCTGGTCCAGTCATTTTATTTGCAGGAAAACATCTTTCCCACTTCCATTTATTCATTTACTTGCTCTGCCAGCATTTATTAAAATGCATAATAGGTTTTAGGCACTATTCCAGGTACCATGAATATAAAGATAAACAAAAAAACATATCCGTGCTGTTGAAGAGGTCTCAGGCTAGTGGAATATAACATAATTACAATTCACAGTGTTGTGATAAATACAGATTTAAAGACTTCTGTGTTTACCATTGGAATGCCTTTACAATTTTCTAATCTAACAGGCTAATATAACTTAATTCACATGACTACTTCCTTTCTCATTTATTTTTCACCATCGCAAGTATTGCTCCAATTAACATGTTTCATGTACATTTTTTTCTGTTAACTATTTTCTGTGGATATAGTCTGAGGCACGAGATGACTGTGTCAAAGGGTGTTAATTCAGATTTTATGATTTTTGACGTGCCTTGGGAAATTAGCTTCATATAAGGATCATAAAGACATGTGAAGTCAGCCGTTCTGCTAAGCATGGCAGTATTGCTAACGAATAGTCAGCACTGTTTTCTTAGGGTTTTAATTTGTGTGTGCTTAATTAATAGCAGGACAGAACATTTTCTCCTGGTTAAGATATTCATTCCCCCTGGTGAGATTTGTATTTAGGGAAAATTTATCTATCATTTATCACTGCTATAATAGCTTCCTAATATGATTTCTTATGTTATTCATACTAGCTGGTGGTGGAGTGGGCTCTAAAGACCTCCCAGCACTGCTCACCCAACTAGCCATCCGTTCAGTGCAAGTGCCCAAGAATTAGGTGATACCCAGGGTCCTGCAGTGCTGGGGATCCCCAAGTTACCCAAGTGGTGTTAGGGCCAAACATGGTGGTCTCAGGGTGAACATATAATGCCAGGAATACAATTCGGGTTGACCCCTTTGGTCCTCCTATAAACTAATTTTTCACCCAAATTTATTGTGAAATTTTTGTTTGTCATCAGACCTAAACTCCAACAAATTTTTCACTTCAAAAACAATTAGACACTTGTGGTTTTTTCCCCCCTCTGGAATTTCTTCCATGGTCTGTCTTAAAGAAATGTATCATTCAATTATTGGCATAAATATTCTAGTCTTGTTGTCCATTCCTTTTTCTTGTCCAAATTTAAACAATTATCTCCTGCGCACCCTTCTCAGCACCAAGGACAAAAAGAAATAAATGAAAGTCATCTTAATATGAATGATCCCAAACTGGAAACAGGTATAAAGGGGATACTGCATGACTCCCTCAGCCATGAGGGGAGACCCACTACCTGACATCTTGGTTTGATTCCTAATTAACTAAAGATGAGGCTCTTTTATGACTGTGAACTGGTAGAAAACTGAAAGCCATGCAAATGATTTGGGTGAGAGAACAGTGAAAGGAAATCACAAAATCAGGATAGGCAGACGTGAAAGCAACTTCTCCCCCAGAAAAAGACAATCTCACGGTTCATGTATTCCTGCACTGCAGGGCGCTATGGAGTCTGGCATGGAACTTAGCCAACTTGTCCCAGTATTTTTCCTCTCTGTCATCCTGACCCTTTGCTTATTGACTGTTCCCTCAGAGCTAGTCTCGCCACCTAGCAGGTTCCCTCAGGAAGGAATTGAAGACAGATTCGGTTCACTCTCACTTTCTGTTTGTGTGAGAGTCCAGTAATGCTGCTGCAAACAGCACCCCTGCCATAGGTACCTGCATCAACCCTGATGACTTAGCTTCCTTCCTAACTTTTAGCTTCCTTTGTTGCAAAGCTAGGGCTGGAGCAATAGCATAGCGGGTAAGGTGTTTGCCTTGTACGCAACTGACATGGGTGACCCGGGTTCGATTCCTCCACCCCTCTCAGAGAGCCTGGCAAGCTACCAAGAGTATCTTGCCCGCACGGCAAAGCCTGGCAAGCTCCCTGTGATGTATTCGATATGCCAGAAACAGTAACAAGTCTCACAATTTGTGAGACTTACTGGTGCCCACTCGAGCAAATCGATGAACAACGGGAGGACAGCGACAGTGACAGTGTTGTAAAGCAGTATCTCCCAGGGACAGCTTGGGGGGTATGGCAATATTGGATCAATATGGGGTGGGGGATACCTTCGGAAACCTCTGTGCACTGCACAGCTTCTGTAAGGTTGGGTGGTGGTCCAAAAGCCAAAGCTATCAGAACAGTGTGTCTCTAGTGACAGAAACACGTGGTCAAGCCGAATGCTCAGGTTGTGAATCAGAAGAAACCTGGATCTCTAACTGGAAAAAGTGGTCTCTGTGAGGCACTTGTCTGGGGAAGTCCTCTGACACCAGAAAGACTGGTTCCAAGTGGCCAGGACCAAGTAAGAGGAAGGGGATGTGATGCAGTGGGAAGAACGAGGGTCACCAGACAAGCAGCCCTGGTTTCCAACCTCTGCTTCCCTGAGCAGCCCAAGAATCTCTTGCCTCTGCGACAAAATTAAGTGGCTGGGAGGAGTGAGCAGGCCACTGCGGAGAAGCCCAGCATCGCCATCCATGTATCAGCACTCTTTCCTATCCCCTGAGACTCGCAGCCATTCTGTTCCTCCCCTCCCCCATGGGAATTGAATCCATGCTGCAGACAAGAATCACAGTCAGTGTGGACGCCCAGAGTCTAGGGAGTAACTGCAGCAGGGAAGAGCTCAGCTTTGGGGTGGGAATTTCCGAAGTACCCGGTACAGTGTGTTAGAGGAACAATGGTGTTTAACGCCCCCTCCCCCATCCCCCACATCTCCCTCCAACTACTTTGGAGGCATTCCCCTCTGGGGAACCCCCTTCTCTCAGAGGAAAGTCAGTTGGATGATGCCAGGGGTCTGTTCAGGTTTCAGCACCCACCAACACCAAGAGCAGTCAGTTGTCGTGCGCCTCTGACAGCCTGCTCCTGGTCACCACCTACCTCTCCTACCACCTCTATGATGTCACCGACTTTCAGTTCGAGCTCGTCGTCATTCTGGGGCAGGTAACTGAATGCAACCTGGCATCGGCGCCGCCGTCGCTCACCTGGATGGGGAGAAGGACATATTTAGAGACGGTTCCTCCCCCCTCAAACACGAGGCTTTAAAGAGCAGCTTCCTAGGCATGCAAGCAAATTAAGCTGACTCGTCTCAAATATGCTCCCTGGAACATGGTAGAGGCGCAGCAGCCCTGGTCTTAAGAGAGAGAGGCAGGAGAGAGCGGAGCGATGCTTCTTGGTCTTTCAAAAGCTGCTGGGTCAGAAAGGCATGGATGTGAGAAATCGATCCGTGAGTGCAAGAAGGCAGAAAAGCCCAGCCCTGAAGCGCTGGAACACAGTGTTGCCTTAAACGGTTTTCCATGGATGGGGCTTTGGATTCACTGCTGCTGGGTTTTGATGAAAGCTCATGAGATGGGGCAGAGAGATAAAACCATGGTCTGCTTCTAACGCAATGGAGGCAGGGGACAGAGTATAGTAAAGAGTGCAAAGGGAAAGAGGAAATGTTCAGGCCTCGCTCTCACTAAGCACCCCTCTCACTACAGCTGCAGCTTGGGTCTGATGGCAGTGGCTGATTACGGCCGTTTCAAACGCCCCTTCCTCCCGAGGTGGTCAACAAATCCACTTCTGTTCTCTTCCCGTCATCCCAGGAGATTTATCAGCAGGCTCCCTGGCTGCTTCCACAGGACTCACACAGACCAATCAGATAAAAGCCAGGACCACACTTGACTTGACCCGAGGACACTCGAGGTTTGCAGCTCACTCACCCGGGGTGGCCCAGCTGGGAGGCCTGGCCATGAGCCAATGCAAACACAGACACAGCTGTCCACAGCACATCCACACCGCAGATGCACATTTGGGGGTGAAAGAACACACATCGGGGTACTTTTGTCCAACTGAGACAGACAGCCAGCTGGGGAGGCCCGTATTGGGGAGAGGTAGAGAGGAGCTAGGAGTCGGGGCCAGCATGGTTCAGAAGTCTGTCACTCAAAGCTCCCCGCCTCACATCCTCCTTCCTGCCACCCTATGGCCTAGAAAACCAAAGGGACTTCAAGGAAGCACATTTAGAAATGTTCACTTTATTTTTGGCTACTGCCTACAGGGATTCTTCTCGCTTTCTGATCCTTCCCCCCCCCCCCGCCCCCCCGAGAAACGAAGCCTGGCAGAACTGTTCACAGGCCACATGAAGGCCCCAAACAACCTGGCATGTACAAAGGGGAAGGTCTCTACTACATCCCACGCGCTCACTCATCGATATTTTTCACAGGCCAGTGGCCCAGTTCTCTCAGTTCCATTTTTGTCTTCCTGGCCCTCACGAGGGAAGACAAGAGTTAACAGAGACAAAGGGCAAAAGTTCAGAATAAATATCTGGTCTAGTCACATCTTTTGTGACTCCACAAACATGCATGGCCTCTTTATTCCAAGTCACAGGCTGCCTGTCCTTTGTGAGAACAGAATTCTCAGGCCAAATCCCAGGTACTAAGCACATTGTCAGTAGGCTGAGGAGGGCCTTACGAACAAGGAAGCCTGGCTCTCCCGGGGCCAGAAGGCTCATCCCAACTGACTTTCTCTGGGAAGGCAGGAGAGAGGGGCTCTAGTACAGAGGACTCTGCCATAGTTCTACAGTCTACCATAACTAAAAGCAAATGATGCATTTGTGTTTCAAAGGATACAGATTTCTCATTCCAGTTCATTCTACCTAAGGAATCTGAGATGGTCAGGCCATCTTGGCACCCTTCTCTGACCCCTGTGGCATCCCTGCCCCCATATATAACACCTGCAGATGAAGGGAATTTTTCTGCTAGATTTTATATTAAAAGCAAACTCAGCAGACACAAGTCCGAACATGAAATAAGTAAATAAGATAAATGTCTAAAACCCAAATTCACAACCACAGACATCACCAAATTGCTGACCAAAGTGACTTAAAACAGCAGTTGATATCCTAGTGGTAGCCAAGTGATCAAACTGAACAATTCAATGTAAATTCATATCCTCAAAAAATCCTCTGTACAAAAGTACTGTCTAACCCAACAATTCACAAATGGTCAAAGAAGATAAGACTAAACCATAGTATAGACCCTAGAACATATTTTATTGAATCAATATAAATTACAGTGTTCATAGTTGAGCTTCAGTCATATAATGTTCAAACACCCATTCCTTCACCAATGTATATAATTTTCTTTTTGCTTTTTGGGTCACATCCTGCGATGCACAGGGGTTACCCTGACTCTGCACTCAGAAATTACTCCTGGTGGTGCTCAGGGGATCATATGGATGCTGAGAATCGAACCAGGGTCAGCCGCGTGCAAGGCAAATGCCCTACCTGCTGTGCTATTGCTCCAGCCCATACAGTGTATATTTCTTGCCATCAATGTCCCCAGTTTCCCTCTTGCACCTCCGTCCTGCCAAACCTGCCTCTATGGCAGACACTTCTCTCTCCCTCTCTCCCTCCACCCTCTCTCTCTCTGTCTTCTTCCTCCCCCCCCCCCCCTTTTAAGATTCAAATCCTCTCAATCCAAAGAAAAAGAATAGAAATCTCTAAAGCCCTATCTGGAACCAATATAACACATTCACTAATTCTTCCTGACTAGTTATTACTTAAATGCTTTGAGGAAGAATATTCAATTGGTGGTAAAGTCCTACAAAGCACATTGTCAAGATAGAGGCCCAAGAAGAGTGAACCTTACAGAAGTTTGCAGAGGTTGCAGTGGGGGGGGGGAGGCAAAGTCACCTGGAATAACAGTTCTCCCAACGGGATTCCTGTGATGATTTCTAAGCAACTCTGCTACCTATCACCATCTCATCCTGACAACCACGAGAGTAAAAATGATTAGATAGGAGACAGAGCGAGCAGCGCTTTTGCAAATGAGAAAATGGGAACCTGGTGACTTACCCAATATCACTAAGTTAGTAAGTAGCAGTATGGCCTTAGCCTAAGTTTGAAGTTCTGCCAATGTAGGATGAACCTATCCAATTTCGAATCCTGTGCCCAATTCTCTGAAATTTATACTTACTGCTTCCTGCCACTGAGAGTAACACAACTCTCAGTGTTCCTGATGAACCCAAAACTCCCAAAAGGCTCCCTTTCCAGTTCTTAGCTTCTGTATAGCACTGTTGCCTGCTAGTTCCACAGCCGAGACTTTGAGGCAGGGTAATATCTGAAGTTGAGAGATACTGTACCTTAGTTCACTCATTCATCTTAAAGTTGAGGAAGTTTAATGTCATTTACCATTTCTTCCTCTTTGGGTACTTCCCCAATGTTCGCTAATGAGTGTGGACCTTCTTTGACGCAGTAGGCAGACAACAATATCCTCTCCCTTCAAAAACTGGAGAAAATGTGGATGATAGGACTAAGTCTGGGGTTTCAAATCCCTCATACTCAGAGCACAGTCCATATGAACTCTAGCTATAAAACATTTTATTGTTGGTTTCCCCTCTATGAAACAATCCAAGAATGGACAGAAAAGTTTTCTTTAGAAAAATTCATGTTTGCTGATCATGGCCAACAACATCAATGTATATTCAAATAAAAAAGGAAATGCTACATTTTTTCATTTTAAAAAATGATGAAATCATGCCCTTTGTGACAGAATGGATGGAATTTGAGGTGATTATGTTATGTGATGTGACTAACTGCTAGCAGATGCATCTGTGTCTGAAGGACTTCATGATGCCTGAAGAATGCTTCTGCCTGAGATGATGAATCTCAAAATGACCAGAGTCTGAAAGAAGGGACAGTCTACCCAAATTAGCACGGTTTCTAAACAAAGTATGTTAAGTGGAAATTACATAATATATTTTAGAAGACAAAGCTGGTGAGATAATATTAGTGTTAAGACACTTTGGTTAGATCTCCAGCCCTGAATATGGTCCCTCAAACACTTTCAGGAGTGATCCCTGAGCAGAACCAAGAGTTATGTCTGAGCAGAACCGGGTATGCTCAGACAAAAAATAGGCTTTGTTTTTTGTCTTTTGGGGGTCATACCTGGCAAAGCTCTGGAGTTACTCCTGGCTCTGCACTCAAGAATTACTCCTGGCGCTGCTCAGAGGACCATATGGGATGCCGGGTGCAAGGCCTTCTCTGCTATACTATCATTCCGGCCTCAAAATTAGTTCTTAAAAGGCTAGGGAACTATTCTAGATTTTACAGAGCAAGAGATATAACTAAATAAAATGTGATCATTAAATGGACTGGGATTTCTTAAGAGTTATGAAAGATTCTTGACAGAATTGAAGAAATCTGAATATGAACCAACACTTGATAATAACATTTATATCCATGCTATGTTTCCTGAATGCTCACTCTATTAAGGTTGTGGAAAAGAATGAATGCCCTTGTTCCCCATTTATGGATGAAGAGTCCTGGTGTTTGTAACTTTCAAATTGTTTAACGAAAAAAATGTGTATGTGAATGCAGTGTGGGGTGAGAATGGTGAGAAAAAGCAAATGTGGTAAACTGCAAACCCACAATGAATCTAGAAGGGAATTCATTATCTGCTGACACAACTTTTGTATACATTTGCAATTTTTTTCTAAATCAAAAGTTGGGGGTGTGGAGTACAGATGCCTGGGGCCCAGGCCTAGAAATGCTGACATCACTGGTCTAGGGTGAGACCCATGAGTCAAGACAAATCTAAATCAATTTGTTGTCCAAAAATAAATGGGACTTGTCTAGGACCAAGTTATTCAGGCCTACATTCAGTTTCTTTTTCCCAAAAGAGAGAAAACTCAAAGTAATTTGGCGAATGTATATGGACGAAATTTTCCTAGCACTCCCCCACTGCGAATGCTGCTGGACTGAGTCTTGGTTGACCAGTCATTCGAACAGGGACAGCAGCATTGTGTGACCATATGTTCTGGGGAGGGGAGAAAAGACTGTAGGCTCTGCTCCAGCTGATCAACAGACAATGCTCCCAACAGCCCAAGTGACTGAACAGGGGCCTGGCTTCTTCTAGAAACCAGCTGTAAATTGGAAACAATTTATTCCAGAGGCAGGGTTTCTTATTTCAGGATGGAAAAACAATACAAACCCAACGAAATACAT